ACACACACTACACTACACACACACACACACTATATATATATATATATATATATATATATATATATATATGTGTGTGTATAGTATATATATATATATATATATATATATATTATGACATACTCTTTCCACGCCTGAGACATCCATTGCTGCGCAGCGGGGAGCCCATCACAGCCAACGACAGCTGTCTGGTCGTCTATTTGACTGAGTTCGTCCGTTATAATGCGCTCATCGCTTATAGTGTGCATGTGTGCAACCTTCTCATTGGCAGACACGGTGACATCCATGAACATCTCATCAATAGACGCTTTCTCTAGTACTCCCTGTGTGCCCAGGTTCTCTATTACCAGCTTGAAGATCTGCAACGGAAGAACAGCAATATGCTATTAAAGTACCTGACACAACGATTGTGTGAATGTATATACATGCACACATACATATATATATAAACATGGCTAAACTTCTCGTCTGCCCAAACTACCAACGCCCTGCAGGCTAGTGATATCCTGAGTTCCTTGCTCTGTGCGCATTCCCCACTATCTCGTGCAATTGGACCCCTGGATGTTTTTATTTATCTGTATAACACTCACCCCAACACTCCAATTGCTACGTACAACGTATCTGTGAATCACACCACTGACTAAAACAAGGCCCTAAATGATATCGCTACAGAACCCCCACATACCACTACGCTCTTATTAAGGTGTATGCTGGGTTGGGTGAAGATGCAAAGTATCTCAATGTTATCGCTACATAACTAACACACCTCTGTACTCTTATTCCTGTGAGGTTAGCCTCAATTAAACACACCTCTGTACTCTTATTCCTGAAGATAGTGAGGTTCCCTTAATTAAACACACCTCTGTACTCTTATTCCTGAAGATAGTGAGGTTAGCCATAATTAAACACACCTCTGTACTCTTATTCCTGAATATAGTGAGGTTAGCCTTGCCGTGCTCCTCGGGGACCGCAAACAGGTTCAGTTCAGGGCACAACTTCTTCGCATCATCTCCACGAGAGCCTCTAGCCAACCCGTCGCAAACAACAGGTGCACATGTAGTATGAGGGTATGTATGTGCGTATGTGGCTATTAATAGAACACCACAAACTATTAATAGAACATTGCCACAAACAACGGGTGCACATGCAGTATGAGGGTATGTATGTGCGTATCTGGCTATTAATAGAACACCACCACAAACTACTAATAGAACACTACCACAAACAACGGGTGCACATGCAGTACAAAGGTATGTATGTGCGTATGTGGCTATTAATAGAACAAAACCACAAACT